AACGAATTACTAGTAAAAATTAATAAACTTTATGACGAGATTCTAAATTTTAAAGATAAGCAAACCGAAGCAGCAGAAATGGCTTCATTTGATCTTAAAGTTGCTGTTAGTTTGTTACCAATTATGGATGATACCGAGAATACTACGCAAAAACTTATCGACGCAATAGAACTTTACGATTCTATGCTTAATAATGAAGGTAAACCTTTATTAATTAAATTTGTTCTGAAAACTAGGTTGTCAAACAGTGCAAAGTTGAGACTTAGTACTAGTTATAACTCAGTAAATGATCTATTGGGTGACATTAAAAAGCACTTTTTAACTATTAAATCTGATAGTGCTTTGCAATTGAAGTTATTTCGTTCTAAACAAGGCGATAAATCTATTGAAAGTTTTGGAAAAGATTTGGAGGAGCTATTCGTTAATTTAACAATATCTCAGGCAAAAGGAGATGAAAATACTTACAACGTATTGAAACCAATAAACGAAAGGTTAGCTTTGAAACAATTTCGCAATCAGAGACTGAGTACGATAATGGCCTCGCGAAATTTTTCCTATTTAAAAGACGCGATTAGAGCAGCCCAAGATGAGGAAACAACATTTTTTAATAGTAACCCTCAAATTTATACCGCTTCTAGGAGAGGTCAAGGAAGATTTATGAGGAACTCTATGAGAGGTTCTTCTCAAAATAGAGGTTCTTATTCGAATAATAACTATTCCAATAGAAATACAAATTTTGCAAACCGCCCTAATATAAATTTTAATAATGCAAATCGGAATAATAATAATGGGAATTTTCAACACAGTCAACGTTTTCAAAGAAATTCTCGTGGCGGGTTCAACAATCGCGGAACCCGTACTAATCGTTTTTCTGGGTCAGATAGGCGACATAACATAAATGTTATTGAGAGTAACTTAGGTAATGGTCAGGATGAAAACTTGCAAGCTAGCACGTCGAGGGCGAATAACCTAATACCTACGACTTCTATGGAGAATATTTTTTTTCGTCCCTAACAAGAAAAATAGAAATGAAATATTTACGTATTCGGATAATTTTACAAACACCGTCAATTTCATTATCTTTAATAAAAACGTAAAATTTTTGGTCGACACAGGAGCTTCATTGTGCGCAATAAAATCAAATGTTTTAAATTCAAATTCACGAGTGTATAATGACAATATAGAAATAAAAGGAGTCGGAGGAACTATAACCTCACCAGGTTATGTTTATCTAAAATTGAAAGTTGGAAATATATCTTTTGAAGAAAAATTTTACGTTTTTACGTCACTTACTTGTTCTAGCGATGCAATAATTGGCGAGAATTTTTTAAGAAAATATAATGGTATCCTAAACTACGAAGAAAATACATTATCTTTAACAAATTTTGAAGATACCATAATTTTACCTTTTAACTCTAATAGCAATGATAATGTGTTAATGTTATCTCCAAGATGTGAAACAATTTGTCATGTTTCGGTTGGTATAACAGAGGATTGTGTGGTTATACCAAGCGAATTATGCCAAGGTGTTTTTATAGCAGGTATGATTGTAAGACCTGAACAAGGAAAAATACCAGTAAAAATTTTAAATACTCGGGAAACTGATGTTTGCTTGAAAAATTGTATCCCTAAAACAAAAAGGTTAAGCTGTTATGAATTCTATCAATTTTCAAAGTCGGACATATCGGTGGCTCGTGTGAAAACATTATTTGAACTACTAAAATTGAACTATTTAGACCCGAAAGAGCAAAATTCAATCGAAAATATTTGTGCTAAATATGCAGATATTTTTCACATGCCAGACGATAAGTTAACTGTCACTTATATCTATAAAGAATCAATTCAGTTAAAAAAAAACGCTACACCCTCCTATGTAAAACCATACAGATTGCCTTTTTCGCAAAAATATGAGATACATAAGAAAGTCTCGAAAATGTATGAGGATGACATCATTGAAAGAGCACAGAGTGAATGGTCTTCTCCGGTTCTGTTAGTCCCAAAAAAAGGTTTGACTGAGGCTTCAACAAGATTAGTTGTAGATTATAGATTAGTTAATCAACAAATTCGCGACCAAAAATTTCCACTTCCAAATATTACCGATATTTTTGATTCCCTTGCAGGAGCTATATATTTCTCACATTTGGATCTTAGTCAGGGATATTATCAGGTAGAGCTAACTGAAGAAAGTAGAAAGTACACAGCATTTACTACTGATCGGGGCCAATGGCAAATGAAAAGGTTGCCAATGGGATTGAAAATTAGTCCAAGCGCATTCTCGAGGCTTATGACAGTTGCTATGTCGGGACTAAATTACGAAAAATGTTTTGTTTATCTCGACGACTTAATAGTTTTTGGAAGAAATCTCGTAGACCATAATAAAAATTTAATTGCTGTTTTCAACAGGCTTCGTGAAGTCAATTTAAAATTAAATCCCTCAAAATGTGAATTTTTGAAAAAACAAATCCTTTACCTTGGACATGTTATTTCAGAAAATGGAATTTTGCCCGACAATAGTAAAGTTAAAGCTCTTCAAAATTATCCCAGGCCAACAAATGCAACCGGTGTGAAGTTAGCAGCCAAAACTTGGCAGCCAATTTGGCGGAAACGCCCGAACGACCAGTGGCGTAACATTGTTTTTTAATGCAAAATAAATTCAATAAATCATACTTAGACATCAAGTCTAGCTATGAAATTGATAGAGTACTATTTTAATATCATCTCCAATCCCCATTCGAAATCCCATTAACTCAAACCCCGTCGAAATATGAAAAACTACCCTTAACAAGTAAAAATGCATAAATATTCAGATTTTCGTATTTTTTCCCAACTCGGACGTCGAATCTTGCCATGAAATTAATAGGGTACTCTTTTACCACCATATCCAACCCCCATGCGAAATCCCATCAACTCAAACTCCGTCGAAATATGAAAAACTACCCTTAACAAGTAAAAATGCATAAATATTCAGATTTTCGTATTTTTTTCCAACTCGGACGTCGAGTCTTGCCATGAAATTAATAGGGTACTCTTTCAGCACCATATCCAACCCCCATGCGAAATCCCATCAACTCAAACTCCGTCGAAATATGAAAAACTACCCTTAACAAGTGAAAATGCATAAATGTTCAGATTTTTGTATTTTTTTCCAACTCGGACGTCGAGTCTTGCCATGAAATTAATAGAGTACTCTTTTAGCACCATATCCAACCCCCATGCGAAATCCCATCAACTCAAACCCCGTCGAAATATGAAAAACTACCCTTAACAAGTAAAAATGCATAAATATTCAGATTTTCATATTTTTTTCCAACTCGGACTTCGAGTCTTGCCATAAAATTAATAGGGTACTCTTTCAGCACCATATCCAACCCCCATGCGAAATCCCATCAACTCAAACCCCGTCGAAATATGAAAAACTACCCTTAACATGTGAAAATGCATAAATATTCAGATTTTCGTATTTTTCTCCAACTCGGACTTCGAGTCTTGCCATAAAATTAATAGGGTACTCTTTCAGCACCATATCCAACCCCCATGCGAAATCTCATCAACTCAAACCCCGTCGAAATATGAAAAACTACCCTTAACAAGTGAAAATGCATAAATATTCAGATTTTCGTATTTTTCTCCAACTCGGACTTCGAGTCTTGCCATGAAATTAATAGGGTACTCTTTCAGCACCATATCCAACCCCCATGCGAAATCCCATCAACTTAAACTCCGTCGAAATATGAAAAACTACCCTTAACAAGTAAAAATGCATAAATGTTCAGATTTTTGTATTTTTTTCCAACTCGGACGTCGAGTCTTGCCATGAAATTAATAGAGTACTCTTTTAGCACCATATCCAACCCCCATGCGAAATCCCATCAACTCAAACCCCGTCGAAATATGAAAAACTACCCTTAACAAGTAAAAATGCATAAATATTCAGATTTTCGTATTTTTTCCCAACTCGGACGTCGAGTCTTGCCATGAAATTAATAGGGTACTCTTTCAGCACCATATCCAAACCCCATGCGAAATCTCATCAACTCAAACCCCGTCGAAATATGAAAAACTACCCTTAACAAGTAAAAATGCATAAATGTTCAGATTTTTGTATTTTTTTCCAACTCGGACGTCGAGTTTTGCCAAGAAATTGATAGAGTACTCTTTCAGCATCATATCCAACCCCCATGCAAAATCTCATCGACTCAAACCCCGTCGAAATATGAAAAAATGCTCTAAGGAAAAACTACTTTAAACAAATGAAAATGCATAAATATCCAGAGTTTTGTATTTTTAAATTATAGTTGGACTTTCAGTCTATCTTAAAATCAAGATGCATGGAAATATAGTATTCAACTGAATAAAAACAAATCTAACATAGAAATGGAAACAGTCCTGAAATTAATCCAAACAGATGTTTCTTATAAAATTAAGCACGCTAGAAATGTCTTTTTTTTTCGAAAATCATTTGCAGACCTGGTAGGTGACTCTTTTATTAAGCTGTTCGGATTGACTTCATAGATAGGCACCTACAATATTAACTGTAGAGCAAAGTTATCAAACATAAAAATTAAAAATAGAAAATAAAATAAACAAAATACTATTCATATGCGATGGTACCCTGTGTAAATTTAGAGCAAATCTATTAAACATAAAAACAGAAAATAAAATATGATTCATATCGAGATGGTACCATATCTACACACAGCAAAACTATTTAACATAAAAACAGAATAAAAAATAAATAAAATATAATTCATATTGCGATGGTACCCTATTTACACATACCTAGAACAAAACTATTAAACATAAAAACAGAAAATAAAATAAATAAAAAATAATTCATATTACGATGGTACCCTATTTACACATACCTAGAACAAAACTATTAAACATAAAAACAGATAATAACATCAATAATACTTGATTCATAAACTTATCACCCATTTTTGAAAATATTTATATCATTTTTTTTTTGTAAAATAAATAACATCTAATTTCGTCGGGAACTAATTTAGTCTACATAAGTCACACATGTCATTCTGGGTTTTTGTGTCTTTGGATATATTTTGTTGAATTTCATCATAGCTCAATAAGCATTTTTCATGTATTGAGCGATGACAAAAAGTACACTTGAAGCATTGTGACGAATCAGTTGATCGAGCGCAAAAAAGGCAGCGTTTTTTCATATCATCAGAATTATTCAATAACAGGTTTTTGAGCTCTTCTGTATACTGATTAATGTCCACATCCATGGTAAGCATTAAATTATTTACTATTTGATGAAAAAAATAAATTACATACACACCGCAATTAAAGTAATCTGTTTGGATAATATGTGGCTTTGTTATTATTTGCCACATATTAATATTTATATTTTTTGCCAAAAAAATATTCTCTAATTTTTGGAAATAACGATCTTGAATTTTTTGCTCTTTTCCCATTGGATCAATAAACAAACAAATATTTTGTTCAAAATCTAATAACATTAACATATAATGTCTCCCATATTCAAATGGCATTACAACAAAATTGTTATTGAAATGTATATTATTTGTCATCCAGTCTTTCGACATCTTGTTATTTCCAAATATAAGAGAACAGTGTTCTACTGACAGTATTTGGTATTTATCACTCTGATTGATCAAGAAAAGGGAATGGTCCAACACAAAACTAGTTAATTCCATTTTCTCATCCAGTGACAAAAAATCATCTATATATAATTCTTTTACCATTGTATTCAGTTGTTCAACAGCCGTAACAGCATATAGTCTTTTATTTTTAAGATATTTGTAATAAGTGAAATCGTTTACTAGTCCATTTTCTAAAAATGATAATTTTTTTGTAGTGGTCCATTTTTTTTGTTCTAAGGACATACTATTATTTGGTGAAATTATTTCAGGCAACATGTGGAACATGTAAAAATTGACCAGTTGTTTTTCGATAGAACTCCAAAACTCTAAAGACCTTTCGATTTTTATAATTTTAATGTTTTTTTGGGTGTAAACTACTAAATCGCACCAATATCGATTGGTAGCTTCCAGTATTGTTTGAACTTGGTAATAGTAGTTGTGATGTTTGTTGATAAATTGATTATTTTTGTCTAGAAAATCAAAGTCAAATGTCTCCGCATCACAGTCCTTAGCTTTATATGGACATTTGATTTCAATAATACCATCGCTACCGACTAAACCATCGGGCGAGGCAGCAATGAAAGGATGTTCCCGATGTATGAATAACCCTGCAGGTGTGACATTAATATTTTTCATTTCAGCATACAAGTCTCGTGCTGTACTTTCGTTGGTCATTCCATAGGTAGTGGCTGGTGTATTTATTCCTTTGCCATCAAAAATAGATTTTATTATATTTTTGTACGATCCATCATTCCTGGCTTTGCAAATTCTTCCAACAAATGAGGCAGTAATTCTTATTTTTCGCTCATGTTTCCAGAGATCACATAGAGATTGTTGCCGAGTTTTACTTTCTATTTCTAGTTTTTGTTTTTCACTCAAGTTGAGTGCTGTTAAAAACTCCGTACACTTAATAAATAATTTTTTTGGTTCTATTGATATTTCCGAGGGTGATTCCGTTTCCAAATTCACAGGGATTTTGTTATTACCTTTTTCGTCTGTATCTTCAGTTAAAATGTCACATTTTTTTAAATACCTTCCGTCAAAATGAGAACTTATCTTTCTTTTTGTTTTGTTCCAAGTTTCTTGAGAATACCTTTCGTCACTTTCTGTATTTCCATGCCACCTATTTAATCCGGATTTTGGAATTTCTAAATCGGACTCAACTTTGAATGCGAGTACATCCCGTCTTAAAATTCTGATAAACTTGGAGCATTTAAGATTTCTCTCACAGTTTAAAGTATTTAATTTCAAATCGCCAAAATAATTTTCAATGGGAGCATTGCTTAGTCTAATAATATTTTGTTTGTGCATCACTGCAGACCATAACGGGCACAATGGTATATATTTATTTAATAAGGTATTATATATTTTTATATTGAAATATATATTATTATGTGATCCTTCGGTCGAAACTATTTGCGAAAAAGTATTTGAAATATTCTTGTATCTTTTATAAAACATACTACCTTTGAAAATTCCCCCATCCTTAGAGGATTCTAATGGAATATCCAAAACGGGAATTAAATGTTTATAGTCTTGGTATTGCAAAGTGAAATCCTGCCCAAAATATTGTATGGCACGCAACACATGTTCATTCCTATATTTGGATGTTAAAATAATGCAAGCATTTTGCATATATATGTCAAAAGATGTTATATCATTTATTTGAATTGCTTTGGCAATCAAGTCTTTTGAATATTGGTTTTGGTTTACGTGAGTTGACAATAAGTCCACATCTTTACTTACCATCTTCATGAAATGTGCACAGCACAAGCGAATTAATATCAGATTATGAGATAATGAATCTGATGTAACATATTTATAACAAATCTCTAAATATTCAAGAAGGGTACATCTATTTAATGATTTACATAGAGCATGGATGTTTGCAAATGAAAAGTCGGTAACAATTGTACTAAATGATGGCCAAAAATTATGGTATTCACAAAAAAATCGAAAATCATTAAAAAGCTTGAATATTGTATTTGAATCATGTATTGAGGAAATCATGGAAAAAATTTGAAAAACGCGTTTTGAAATTGTCAGCTGTATGACAGCAGCATAAAAATAAACCCTTTTTTGATTCGCAAAAAATTTTCTCACAACACTCCCGGTGGCATCAAAATAAACTGTAACACTGTGGTTTTTGGACTCATTTTTTAAAACTTTCAGTTGCTCTATGCTATATAATTTGACATTGAATGGCATGCTGATTTCTTTAATGTATTCCGGGTGTTCTCCTTGCATCATCACCAAGTCCACAAGGTCATTTTTATGCCTGTCCAAGTTGGACATTGCTTCCGATCTTATCCTTCTTAATGTTGGATCAGATTTAATGTCTTGTAAATTTTTTCCTTTTTTGAGAACAACCTTGTTAGCTTTTAATAATGCCTCTTTTTTTACCTGTAAAGGTTTTTTTTTCAAAAGTATTTTTTTGGATAACAATCTTTCAACACCTCTTACTTGGCCTGTGTATAAAGACGGGTGACTGTAATCTTTCGATGAAGAGAAAATGTTCACTAAGAGAGTATTTATGTTGAAGATGACTTTGAATTTTTTACATTTGTTATTATTCTGTTTACATTGACCAATAATATGAACCTCTGGTTTTTTTTTTAAATACTTAACATATTTGAAAACTATGGTACAAACATTATTTATGTGTTTAAATATTTCCTTTCTTAGACAATAGGGATAATATTTTGAATTGAGTTTATTGTTTTGATAAATAATACTGAATATTTTGTTTTTAATGGTAAAAGACCCTTCGTGGTAGGCAAAGTTACTGCATTTCGGAATTATGGGATTTGGGGCAATATTACTAGTATTGGCTGGGAAAATTGGTGCTGAAATTATAGGACTTGAAATATCAAGAATTTCCTTGGGAATATTAAAACTTTCAGGGGTGATATCTATTTTGTTATTTTCAATTTTGGAGTCGAAACAACCAATATCGGGAAATAACACAGTCTTATCGTCCTCGGTAACGTGTTTATCATTAATTAATGATTTTTCAATCACTATGTTATTTGATTGAAAACAGAAAGGTGATGACTGATTCATATGTTCTGATTTTTTTGAAATCTCGCTCAAAATAGGCGAAATACCACCATCGTTGGTAAATAAACTCAAATCTTTATTAATACTACTGGGTCGATTTTTAGAATTCTGTAGTTTCAATGAATTTTCGTTGGGATATTCAAATCTGGTAGGTATCTGATCAGATTCAGACTCAACTTTAATACATGATGGCGATTCTTGATCCAAAACTGAAGATGTGGAAATATTGTTAACCGATATTTTATCGTTGGAAGGATTATGGGTTAATTTCATTTCCGAAGAAGCATTCAACTGTGCTACTAATGGCATATTTTTGTTTTTAATTTCATTTCTAGAAATTCTTTTTGCCATTGAGTATATTTTATTCCGATTTTTATAATTGACTTTTAGTTGAAAATATTGGCAAATATTGGTATACAAATCGTTTCCAGGTGAATAACACGACGGCACTTTTACAATATTATTACTTTTCAAGAAACTACTCAGAGTGTGTTGATTAAAACTTCTGAAGTTGTTAAATTTTTCATCTGTAATTTTTGACTTTACCCTTGTGGAAAATAGTTGTTTAAATCTTTTATTATTGTATATAGCGTTTTTTATATTTGAATGATAACGATATTTTGTATTTCCAAGAATCAAACTTATCTCATTCAATGTCGTATCCCGTAAGCTCGATTGAAAATCAAAATTTGGCTCATGTTTTGACAAAAGGTTGACAATGATTGCATGTGCTTTATTTTGGGATATATTTTTTTTGCTAGTCATAATGAAAATTGTATGTGAATTTTGAAATGAATTTCCAGTATATTTTATGTGGCGTAGGTAGACTGAATTAGTTCCCTAATTGAGAGATCTACTTAGAAACTACAGATTATTGTCTAAAATTAAATATTTTTTCAAAGGCATAAATTCCTGGCTGAAATAGGTACCTTCATAACATAGTGAAAAATAATAATTTTCAGTTTTTTTTTCTCCTTTCCGTTGACTAACTGTTGTGTACACATTCGACAGCATAATCAAATTCGTTTTATTTTCTCTAGATTATGCCAACATGAGATGCCTTAAAACATTGACCAATTAAATTATGTATTTGTACATTACATCTTAATAATTAATACATACCGAATTCCAATTTCCTATTAAAGGTGTAATCAATTTTTACTGTTTAATGCGACATAGCATGATTTTGTAGCTGGCCTCCCCCAGCTTCCACACTTGACAAAAACAAAGTGTCATTCACCTCCTAATAAAACAATGCCTATATTACCAACTTTTCGAAAATTATCTGGATCAATAGTGGTTACCTGAATGGAATTTGCTTTGTCAAGTCTCTGTATATTTCGAAAGAACGATAAGCTTGATGTAGAAGCAGAAGGTACCTACATTCTGTAGAAAATAGTATATTGTTTTATTAGGAGTAAAAGTGATACTATTTGTGGCGAGACTAAATGTTTGACGGCCGAACGTAGTGAGGCCGACAATTTTAGACGAGCCACAAAAAGTGCTTTTCTCCGAATAAAACATGCTATTTTTTCCGCAAACGGTGTTCAAAGCGATGAAATCCAGGAAATTTCTGTGACGTCACTTTTTTGTCCGGCCGTGAGCGTACAAAAAAGTACTTTTTTGAACGCTCACGGAACGCGCGTATAAAAAAGTAACCAGAAAAGTGACGTCTGTGAAGTCAAACTTCAACATTAAGAATTGAGGTTAAAAAAGTCGTAATTTTTTGACGTTTGCGGAAAAAAGTATTTTTTCTCCAAACGTCAAAAAAACGTCACTTTGTCAGCACCTGTCAAGATGTTAGAAGTTTAATTTCTATGCTGGTAGGCAAATCCAGCGGGTTAACACCTGTCGAGGTGGTAGAAATTTAATTTCTATGCTGCTAGGCAACCGCAGCGGCAGTAGAAGTACTTTTAGTGCCGCTGGAGCGGCAGCAAAAGTACTTTTAGTGCCGCTCGTACTTTTACTGCCGCGTAACCATCCAGTTGCCCCCGAGCTTACCTCATTCGTTTGGAGAAAAAATAGCGTGTTGCATACAGAGTAGAAGCACTTTTTTGTGCTTCGGCAGTATTGCAAGCCTCACTACGTTCGGCTTGCAAACCTACTGCTTCAGCACAAAAAAGTTAAGCTTCTACTCCTAATACAACAATATACTATAAAACTGAAATTAGAAAAAAACAACTTTGTATTACCTACATTTTATTTCCGAGTCTATTATTTGTTGTTTAGCCTGAAGCATAAAAAAATAGATTTGCAATATGACTCTTAATATCGACAGGTGAATTTTAGTTATGAACTAAGGCTGTCAGTTTGCCTATTAAGAATAACTATTTACTTAACAAGAGTGGAAAATGATTTTTCCCGCACGAGTCTGCCGTTCACCGAACGACGTGTAGCGGATTTCGGTGAAGCAACCGAGTGCGGAAGAAACATTCGTATTCATCGTTCGTTGAAAAAAATCGCTCGGACCCGTCGATTTTTATTTGGAGGGGGAAATCTTTTGCACATATTTTCAATGTTGTCACTTCAACCCTCTCGCGGGGGTAAGCTCCAACCCTTAAATCTTAAATGGCAGTAGGGGTCACGTGATACATCATTTCAAAGGTCATGGAATTATCTTTTCAACGGTGCCTATTTTTTTGAATTTGATGCAGTGGTTTTCGAGAAAATGCATTTAAAAATAGACGGAACTAGTACTGTTTTAGTCATTTTGAGCACTATCAATTTTGTAGTTATAACAATTTTCACTAAAGAAGAGATTTTATGTGTTTTTTTTTTTAAGTAGTATGTTATCCAACTTGAAATCACAAGGTTTAAGTCCAAGTTTTTTTTATCACTCAATAAAATTCAACCAAATACATCCTAATTTAAAAAAAAAATTGAAAAAAAAAAACTTAGTAAATTCAAAAAACTAGGCACCGTTGAAAAGAGAATTCGATGGCCTTTGAAATGAGGTATCGCTTGACCCCTACTGCCATTTAAGATTTAAGGGTTGGAGCTTACCCCCGCGAGAGGGTTGAAGTGACAGCATTGAAAATATGTGCAAAAGATTTCTCCCTCCAAATAAAAATCGACGGGTCCGAGCGATTTTTTTCAATGAACGATGAATACGAGATATCGACCTTGTTTCGTTTTCGCTGGCCCACCCTGTATATATATTTTTTTGACAGCCGCGCGGAAAAAAAAAATCGCACCGATATTCATGTAACAAATGTGTAAAGTGAACCTTTCTTCACGAATGTGAATTTTGACGCACGCGCCGAAGCCGAGTGCCACAATCACATGAATGAAAAAAGGTCCTTTACACACATTGCATACAAAACAATTTCTATTACCATTGTAAAAAAATAAATTTAGACAAATCCTTTACGCACCAGTGCGTAAAGTATTTTATCTTTACGCACTAGTACGTGAAGTTTACCAAATTTACCAAAAAAAAAAACTAAATTAACAGTGTCGACGTCTGTCATTGATATCAAATACTTTACGCACTAGTGTGGAAAGTGAATTACTTTACGCACTAGTGTGAGAAGTAAAATTTTACGTCTAAAGTATTTTTCTCGGTATTTTTTCTACTACCGTGCGTAATAGTATATTCTTCAACGAGCATATAATGATTCATTCGAGTGAATAATAGCCATTATTTGCGAGTAGAAGACTATACTTTCTCTTCGAACTTTTTGAAAGAAAATCATTAGTTTTTTGTAAGAAATAACAATCATCAAAAGTTTAAACCCGCCTTAATTTTTTTTCAAATTAAAGTTTTGTGATCTGATGACAGTAGACGTCAGTCATGTTTTGTTTGTATTGTCTCGTTGCGGCCCGTGTATCCCGAAAATAAGGAGAATTTGATTGGTCGAAAAGCAGTGGATTCCGGTCTGGAATCCACGGGGCGTGTAGAATTCGTATCATTAATCAGTTTAATATCGAGCAAGAATGAGTGTATTATTTAATGTTCGAAGAGAAAGTAGTTTACCTACTTTACACATTAGTGTGTAAAGTAATGTCAATGACAGATGGCGACAACTGTCAATTTAGTATTTTTCTAATAAATTACTTCACGCACTAGTGCGTAAAGTGAAAATACCTTACACACTAGTGCGTAAAGTAATTGTCTAAATTTATTATTTTTCACACATATCCACTTTACACACTTGTTGCATAAATAGCTATTAAGAGTGCGCTTCTCGATGCTGAAAATCGCGAGTGCGCCTTTGCTATAAAAACAGTTGCATCTAGGAAATTTTAACCGATAACTTTTTTCAAGGATATGTTTATGCGCGTGTTTGACCAGTAAATTTTTTTTTGATTTTTCTCTTTTTATGAATTTTTTTTCTCCAAAAAATGAGAAAAATCAAAAAAAAAATTAGTGGTCAAGCAAGCACAAAAGCACATTCTTAAAAACAGTTTTTGTTAGAATTTCCTAGATGCAACTGTTTTTATCAAAACAGCATAGTCGCAAACGCGAAATACCAATTTTTTCAGCATCGAGAAGCGCACTCTTAAAACAGATAATAAGGGCTGGTCCTACTGACGTCACAAGCCTCTGCCCGCTTTTGGATTCTTTAGAACGATTTATGGTGGGTTTAGCCAACTAATAATGCATAATGCACATTTTTAATTCATAATCGATAATTTTTAAAAGTTCACATTTAAATACACCCGTTTATACAATGCATAGTGGATAGTGGATAATTTAGTGCATAATGCGTAATGCGTACGAATTATCGATTATGCATTGTGCAAAAAACGCTAGAGCGCAAGCGTATATTTCCAAGTTTGTTTTTGTTTTGGTTTTGCTTCAGAACCTCGAAATCTAGTTGTGTGTTTTCCTGTTGTTTTCAATGTTTTTTGATCCGGAATGAAGTTTTTCCGATTTTAATTATACAAATGAGATTTTTCCTGATAATATAAAACCTAATTTATTATTTATTTCATTATTTATTATGATCATGAAAAATAACAAATGTCAAACTCAGCTGTCTTGTTAATTCTTAATGCACAAAAATTATGCGTTGTATAAACACCACCTTTCTCTTATGCATTACGCGTTATGAATTACGCATTATCAATTATGAATTAAAATTCTGCATTAGGTATCCATCAAGAGTTGGCTAAACCCACCTTTACTCGCCACGCAAAGTGTTGTGGAAATTCCCATTTTTTATTGAAATCGACCGTTCCTGGAGATCGGCGAGGTCAAAACAAACTTTCGAACAAATGTAGGTGTACTTATTATTTGTAAGTTAAAGTAGGTACCTACTCATGAATCACTAAGGTCTTTCAAATGTTAAAAAATATACACCGCA